GACTGTATTTACCATGTTCGGACAGAGTGCCTTGTCTGACAGGTTGAATAACTGGGAACTCTTGTGTCTGGGAGAGTGTGTGTGTGTGTGTGTGTGTGTGTGTGTGTGTGTGAATGGCTTCTGCATATGTGACTAGCAGGACACCATTAGATCACTTCAGCTTCAGGAGTCACCACAGGGAATCCTGTCTTGTACGTGTGGGAGACCAACTTTCGTGTCTCTGCTTTGCTCTCTGTGCTACTTTAATTCCTACCTCCATCACTGCCCCTTCCCTGACCCACCTGCTTCGCGTGGATTCCATCCCTCTTGCCATTTTTAAGGGCAGAGGCTCTGAGAAAAAAAGGGACAGGTAGGAGAGGCGGCAAAGTCTGTCACTCATATACACAAACCCATGTGCAATGTCATGTCTGCCCATATATTTAGCAGCACCTATATTTGCATAAATCTGGCATCAACAGGAGAAAGTGCTTGCAAATATCCATATGCAGGCTACACATTCCTCCACACTCAAGAGCTCATCCTCATTGCTGTATCTATCACAAGAGCAGACAATTTTTGTATATAATCGCCTTTTTTTTGGTTTGAGATGGAGTCTCACTCTGTCGTCTGGGCTAAAGTGCAGTTGTGCAATCATAGCTCATTGCAGCCTCAAACTGGGCTCAATTGTCCTGTGGCCCCAGTCTCCCAAGTAGCTGAAACAATCGGTACATGCCACCATGCCTGACTGACTTAAATTTTTTTTTTTTTTTTTTTGTAGATATGAGGGATGAGGTCTTACTACGTTGCCCAGGCTGGTCTTGAACTTCTGGGCTCAAGTGATCCTCCTGCCTCAGTTTCCAAAAGTGTTGGGATTATATGTGTGACTTACCATGCTTAGCTGGCTGGGGCCCTGGGTTTTAATAGCAGTTGGATACAGGAGGCTGCTCATCCTGTTCCTCTGACCCCTACTACTAGTGAGGGGTGATGGGAGGGAAGACAGTCACTTTGCCATTCTTTTTATTTTTAACTTATCAATTTGTAGGTTTTTGTTTTTATTTTTGTTTTTGAGACAGGGTCTCACTGTGTTGCCCAGGATGACATGGTTGGCTCACTGCAACCTCTGCCTCTTGGGCTTAAGCAATCCTCCTACCTCAGCCTACAGAGTCGTTGGGACTATAGGCATGTGCCACCACTCCTGGCTAATTTTTGTATTTTTTGTAGAGACAAGGTGTTACTGTATTGCCCAGGCTGGTCTCGAACTCCTGGGCTCAAGCAGTCTTCCTGCCTTGGCCTCTCAAAGTGCTGGGATTATAGGTGTGAGCCACTGTGCCTGGCCTGATTTGTAATTTGATTTGTTTAAAGTCAAGCGTGAGGTATAATTTTTTTTATACATACAGTGTAGTTCAGTTCGCGTTCCCAGGGCCCTTGCATCATTAGTTTATTCCACATTCACTGATGGCCACCTGTGCCAAGACCCTGCCCTCGGCACACTCATACGTGGTAGGGAAGACGGCCATGGAAACAGACCAGGAAGGTTCAGCGTGGTAAGGCCAGAGATGTTGGTGAGAGGGGCTGGGGGCAGGGAAGGGAAGCTCTGCACAGGGGATGGTGCCTAAACTCAGTAGGGTGAAGGACTACTGGGCTACAGAGGAGCACTGTGAGGCTCAAAGAGCTCACACCCTGGGATTCACCACATCCCAGGAGACACTTCACGCTTGTTCAATTTGGCCTGTGATGGGTTTTTTAATCTTTGAATCATTGCCAATGCTTAAAAATTGAGAGATTTTGGCCGGGTGCAGTGGCTCACACTTCTAATCCTAGCACTTTCAGTGGTCAAGGCGGGCGGATCACGAGGTCAGTAGTTCAAGACCAGCCTGGCCAACATAGTGAAATCCCATCTCTATTAAAAATACAAAAATTAGCTGGGCATGTGTCAGGCACCTGTAATCTCAGCTACTAGGGAGGCTGAGGCAGGAGTATTGCTTGAACCTGGGAGGCAGAGGATGCAGCAAGTCGAGATCGCACCACTGCACTCCAGCCTGGGCAACAAGAGCAAAACTTCATCTCAAAAAAAAAAAAAAAAAAAAAAAAAATCCAGAGATTTTACATAACAACCCAGAATCCTAGTTTCAAAAACAGCAAAATGAAACAAAAACACAAACAAACCGGGAGCTCTGTGTCCTGCATGGCAGGGCTTTGCATAATGTGCCCCTTCAGCCCGCCAACCTCCCGCACAGCCCACTTACTGGGTTACCTGTTGGGCCCCTCCTCCCTTGAAGCCTGGAGCTGTGCTGTCCACCAAGGTGGCCACTAGCCACATGTGGCTCTTGAGCACTGGAAATGTGACTAGTCTGAATTGAGACAAACTTAAGCATAAAATGTCCATTGGATTTTGAAGACTTAGTTCAAAGAATGTAAAATATCTCACTAATAATTTTTAAAGTGTTGATTACATGCTGAAATGACTTTATTTTTTATATATTGGGGTAAATAAAATGTACTAAAATGCTATATATTGTTTATAATTATATTAATCGGCCAGGCACGGTGGCTCAAGCCTGTAATCCCAGCACTTTGGGAGGCCGAGGCGGGTGGATCACAAGGTCGAGAGATCGAGACCAACCTAGTCAACATGGTGAAACCCCGTCTCTACTAAAGATACAAAAAAAATTAGCTGGGCATGGTGGTGCGTGCCTGTAATCCCAGCTACTCAGGAGGCTGAGGCAGGAGAATTGCCTGAACCTAGGAGGCGGAGGAGGCGGAGGTTGCGGTGAGCCGAAATCGTGCCATTGCACTCCAGCCTGGGTAACAAGAGGGAAACTCTGTCTCAAAAAAAAAAAAAAAAAAATGTGGGCCAGGCCTGGTGACTCACCCCTTTAATCCCAGCACTGTGGGGGGGCCAAGGCAGGCAGGCAGATCGCTTGAGTCCAGGAGTTTAAGACCAGCCTGGGCAACATGGTGAAACCTCGTTTCTATGAAACATACAAAAATTAGCCAGGTTTGGTGGCACATGCCTGTAGTCCCAGCTACTTGGGAAGCTGAGGTGAGAGGATGGCTTGAGCCTGGGAGGTGATGGCCGCAGTGAGCTGTGATTGCACTGCTGTACTCCAGCCTGGGCAACAGATCAAGACCCTGTCTCATAAAAAAGGTGGACACTAGGAAATATAAATGTGTACATGTGGCTCACATTATATTTCTCTTGGTCAGCTTGGGTCTAGAACCTAATGGACAAATGAGGACTCAGCAAGAGGGGCTGGCAGAGCCAGACATGAGGGAGGGTGAAGAAGGCCATTGTAACATGATGGTTAAAGCTGTGAACTTTGGAGTCAGTGCTGAGAGTTCAAGGTTCATTTCTGCTCCTTACCTGCTGTCCCACTTTAATCTCTTTGAACTTTCAGCATGTGGCACTCATTGACAGGTGAGATGATAGCTGACACTCATTGACAGATGACATCATTTTGTCCAGCTCTGGAGCTGGGATTTGATTCTCAGGGAACTGACTGGGGTCTGATGAGTTTTAGGCTGAGTTTTAGGCTGCAGAGTGATACATCCAGATGGAAAGATCCCTCTAGACCGGGGCAAGGAGACTAGAGCAAGGACTGTGCAGAAATTAACACTGGAAGTGGGCATGCAGAGGAGTGGCCACATCCAAGGCACATAAAGAAATGAAACCCATAGGCTGGGCAGGGGTGGGAGGGGAAAAAAAAGGAAGCTGTAGGATGTAGTGATGGATGGGATGTGGTGGGGAGAGGGTTGGAGAAGGTATCACAGCGGGTTCTGGCTTGGCTGCTGGGTGGAGGTGGGGAGGTTTATCCAGAGAGGGAGAGACTAGAGATTCTGCCATGCTAGCGACCAGGCTAGCCTTTCCCACTTTTGTACTCCTCAGGCCTGGCACAATTCTTGGCATGCAAGTGCTCAGCCAATATTGCCAAGTGGCTGGAAGGCTAAGAGCACCACCTTTGAGACTGCAGTTTTGGGTTTGCTCCTGGTTCTCCATCTACTAGCTATGTCATCTCAAGCATACTACTTCACCTCTCTGGACATCAGTCTCCTCATCTGTAAAATGGGAATAATGATAAGTGTAGCCCCTTGTGGGTTGTTCCGAGGACTGAGTAGGTTTATCCATGGGAGCACACAGCATAGTGAGTGCTCAGTAGCTGTTAGTCCCAGACTTCACACTCGAGCCTCACTCCTGACACACACGGGGCCTTGTCTACCAAGGCTCTCACCTCCTTAAAGGAAGAGAAGGCCAAAGAGTTCCACTAAAGAAGCAAATGCCTCAATATTCTCCCTTCTTCCGAGGCTAAGCGGGAGGATGGAGGTTAGACTGCAAGAAGAACTTTCTCTTATAGTCAAAATTATCTAAGTGAATTTTTGAAAAGTAACTTCTCAGATTCCCTTCTCTGCTCTTCAGACAATTAGTAGATAATTCCAGAACGTTTTTGGGAGGGGGGATAGGGCCTATCTCCTGATCTCCTTTAGTATTTGCAGAGTGACTTGGCAGGAAGAGGGCCAGGATGGAAGGCGCTAATAGGGCAATAACCTCCCTGTCCAGGGATGCAGAGTCCACAGTCTCCAGGCCCCTCACTGATGCAGGGGTGGGGTGGGAAGGCGGGGAGGGAAATGGGAATCACGAGTGGCAAGAGGGCATTTGGGGATTCCCTGTGATTGCCCAGCCCTGGCCTGGCCCTGCTACAGGGCCCCGTGGGTCCTGCCTCCAGCTCACACTCAGATCCTTACATCCAAGTCCATCTCTGACGGTATCCGTTAAAACACCAAGATTCTGCTGGAGTTGTTTAAGATGGGACCAGCCTGGTTCAGTGAGGGGGACACAGAATCAAGAGCCAGACAGCTCCGAGTTCACATCCACCAGCTAAGGGAACTTGGGCAAGTCACTTTCACCTCACAGTGCCTCACTTTCTCCCTTTGTAAAGCAAGGATACCAGACCCTCCCTCAAGAGGGGCGGTGTGCGGTGGCCGCTGGCTCAGGGTTTCCCTCTTCCTGCTATTCTGCTCCACAGTGCCCATCCCCTCCAAAGCCCGCAGCCTCTCAGCCCTCTCCTTGGCCAAAGACAGCCTGGTAGGCGGCATCACGAATCCCGGTGAGGTCTTCTGCTCCGTGCCTGGCCGGCTTTCACTGCTCAGCTCAACGTCCAAGTACAAGGTGACGGTGGGGGAGGTGCAGCGGCGACTCTCGCCTCCTGAGTGCCTCAACGCCTCCCTCCTGGGGGGCGTCCTCCGCAGGTAGGAAGGCCACGATCCCCTGCCTGGCTGGATCCCTGGCCTCTTCAGGCCTTCTCGGGGTATCCACAAGGAGGCCAGCTTCACCTAGGCCCCCTGCCTCAGTCTCCCTGGGAGGGGAGGCCCTGGGGACTCTGGATTGTGCATGCTGTGGGGGCTGGCCCAGGTCCCTGGTGGCTGCCACATGTCTGTGGGTTTGGGGTGGGGAGGTGGTCAGAGAAAGAAGCCTGGGCACAGAGAAGGGAGGGAGAACTCACCCACACTGGGCAGGACAAGGCTGGGTCTAAGGAACAGAGAGGGCCATCCTCACCCGCTCTTCTGGGAAAGGGACCCCATGACCCAACACCCGTTCCACATGGCAGCATAGGCCTTGTGTGTTTTGGGGTGAGGAGCATGGTAGTCCATGGTTCATCATCTTAAACCTGTGTCTGTCTCTCTCTCTGCATGTTTTGGTGCCTGGGAAGGGTATCTCTGCTTCAGGGCTGTGAGCTTTGATGAGCCTGAGGATGGTGTGAACATGTGTGTGAGTGTGCATGTATCTATAGTAGCGGATGGCCAGGAGCATGTTTCCATGAGTGTGAGTATCCTGTGTTTCTTCTAGTAGGATGTCTGGCCTAGAGTGTGTCCTGCTGTGTGTGTGTGTGTGTGTGTGTGTGTGTGTGTGTTTGCCTGTGCAACTGGAGCTAGTCCGATGGATGTCTGCACATCTGTGCCACCGTGTGGGAGGGGCACATGTGCAGTCATAGGGGGTATCTCCTTACTCCTGGCATCTTGGAGGATCTCTGTGAGTCCCTGAGTGTCTGTACATGTGCTGCTGGGACGCTGACTTGGTGTGATCCTGTGTCTCTGCGTCTCTGGGAGTCTGAGTTTGTGTCTCTACATATGTCTGTCTCTATTGGTTCTACGGGTCTCTATTCTTTCACCTGTGTGTGTATGTGTGTGTGTGTGTGTGTGTGTGTGAGCCCCCAGGTGGCTGTGTACCTGTGTGTCTTCCTTTCTGTATGTCACCACGTGTCTCTACATATAGGTCTATGTATCCCTGGGTAGCTGTGTGTGGCCATCTGGCGTGCTAAGGACTCCAGGATGCCCCACCCTGTGCTGCCCCTGCTGTCGAGAGGACTAGGGAGAACTGAGGGCTCCTGGAGCTGGGTGCTGGGCCCCCCACCCCTGTCTTGGCTGCAAAACCATTAAGGCTAGGAAGAGGTTGTGCCCTTGCTGAAAGAGACCCCAGAGCATCCCCAGGACCAGACCCAAACCTCAACAGGGGCCGGTGGGGACAACAAGGCCCTTTAGGAGTCACTTCGCCTCCACACTTTTCTCTTGTCTCAGAGTTATATGTCTGTCTCTCTCTGTGCATGTCAAGGGCCAAGTCCAAAAATGGGGGCCGGTGTTTGCGGGAACGGTTAGAGAAGATTGGGCTCAACCTGCCGGCTGGCCGTCGCAAGGCTGCCAACGTGACACTGCTGACTTCGCTGGTGGAAGGTGAGTGAGGCCTGAAGGTGGGCATGAGAGTGAATTTGAGGGCACGTGAATGGTCTGGTGTGACTGTCTCTAATGCAGGAAGGGTGTCTTTAGTCATGTGCAGGTGTATCCGTGTATGTGTTGCAGTATCTGTGTGCATACTCTGTTATGTATAAGCTGTGTTTGTGATTTCTGTGTGTGGCTTCGTGCATGTGTACATGCATGTGCAATGGAGACCTTCTTTCAGTGTGCGTGTGTGTGTGCCTATGTACATGTGCATATATGCATGTGTGCACATGTGCGTGTGTGTGTGCATGTGTGTGTGCGTTTGGGTGTGAGTGTGTGGGCAGGGAGTGGCCAGTGTTTGGATGTGGTAAAGGGATGAAGGGGGTGACAGCCCCCTCCCCTGGAGGTTGGCGGCTCTGGTATACATGGTGGGCTCAGCTCCTATCTCTCTCTGAGCTCAGATCCCAACTCTGATGGCCCCAAGGGAGAGCTATGGAATGGGGGCTGGAGCTGGGCTCAGAAGGAAAGTTAGAGGGCGCACCTACAGAGGAAGAATGGGCCAGGATACCCCTGGCCAGGGGGGTTAGAGGTTCAAAGCTGTGTTCCAGGCACAGAGGTATACCTGGCAGTAGTGACAGCTCCCCTCCCCACAGGAGAGGCCGTGCACCTGGCCCGAGACTTCGGTTACGTCTGTGAGACCGAGTTCCCAGCCAAGGCAGCTGCCGAGTACCTGTGCCGACAGCACGCTGACCCTGGGGAGCTGCACAGCCGCAAGAGCATGCTGCTGGCCGCCAAGTGAGTGAGGGCACCATGTGTGGGCACACGTGGGTGCCAGGCACGGACATCATGTATACGCACAATGGACACCACTATGTACATGAGCAGTGAGCACATGCAGGTACATGCGGCCCATGTGGCACCACACGCGGGCACACCTAGGCTCCCTGCTTAGGCTCTCGTGGCACATGTGTGCATGCCACATGGGCACACTTGGGTTCCTCATGTGGGTATATTTGTGCATCATGTTTTTCATACTCAGACATACACGAACATTCCTAACAAGCACAGGAGCACACGTGGACATTACATGTGAACATATCTGGGCTCCTTGCATCAGGAACAGTAGCGTCACATACTGGTTCGCACAAGCGCACACGTGGGTCCTACACTCACATACACTCCCACGACACCACCAGCCTCAGTCCCCATCATGGGTCTGAGGTTCCCTCTTCTAGCCTTGCCCATCAACCTTCTGCTCCAGTGACCTCCATCAGGCCACCAGGTCACACCTGAGTGCTCTGCGAGTCCCATTGTGCCTCCCTCACCGCCGTTCACGTGCTGCCACCTCTACTCAGGTCTCTTCATCTCACTCCTCGACCTTCACCCCAGAGTCTCCCTGTTTCCGACCTCCCTGCACATGCACCGGCTCCTCTGCGTAAGAATCTTCAATGGTTCCGGCTGCCAATGCACTGGTTTTCAAACTAGGGCCTGTTTAACAAACTAGTATTCCATTAAGATTTACTTTCTTTGTTTCTTTGTTTTTAGGCAGAGTTTCGCCCTTGTTGCCCAGTCTGGAAAGCAATGGTGCAATCTCGGCTTACTACAACCTCTGCCTCCCAGGTTCAAGTGATTCTCCTGCCTCCCGAATAGCCGGGATCACAGGCACCTACCACCATGCCTGGCTACTTTTTTGTATTTTTAGTAGAGACAAGGTTTCACCCTGTTGGCCAGGCTGGTCTCGAACTCCTGACCTAACGTGATCCACCTGCCCTGGCCTCCCAAAGTGCTGGGATTACAGGTGTGAGCCACTGTGCCCAGCCCCAAGATTTAGTTTCTCAGTCCAGGCGAGGTGGCTCACGTGTGTAATCCCAGTACAGTGAGAGGCCAAGGTGGGCTGATTGCTTAAGCCCAGGAGTTGGAGACTAGCCTGCACAACATGGTGAAACCCCGTCTGTACTAAAAATACCACAATTAGCTGGGCATGGTGCTGTGCGCTTGTAGTCCCAGCTACTTGGGAGGCTGAGGTGGGAGAATCACCTGAGCCTGGGAGGCTCAGGCTGCAGTGAGCCACGATCACATCACTGCACTCTAGCCTGGGTGACATAGTGAGACCCCATCTCAAAAAAAGAAAAAAGGTAGAAAATTTAGTTCTTCCATAGAGTTCTTATCTTAGTCCATTTGGACTGCTATAACCATAAACTGGAAAGCTTACAAACAACAGAAATATTTATTTATTTATTTATTTATTTATTGAGACAGAATCTTATTCTTTGCTCAGGCTGGAGTGCAATGGTGCAATCTCGGCTCACTGCAACCTCCGGCTCCTAGGTTCAAGCAATTCTCCTGCCTCAGCCTCCCAAATAGCTGGGATTATGGGTGCCTGCCACCACACCTGGCTAATTTTTGTAGTTTTCTTAGAAGAGACGGGGTTTCACCATGTTGGTCAGGCTGGTCTCGAACTCCTGACCTCAGATGATCCACCTGCCTTGACCTCCCAAAGTGCTGAGATTACAGGCGTGAGCCACAGTGCCAGGCCAACAGAAATTTATTTCTCATAATGCTGGAGGCTGGGAAGTTCAAGGTCAAGGCAGATTCCATGCCAGGTGAGGGTCTGCTGTCTGGCTTATAGACAGCACCTTGCTGTGTGCCTTACATTGTAGAAGGGAGAAGGGGTTTCTCTCTGGCTTCTTTTATAATAAAGGCATTAATCTCATTCATGACATTCCACCTCCATGACGTAATCACCTCCCAAAGGCTTCACCTCCTAATACCATCACCTAGGTGGGTAGGATTTCAACATATGAATTTTGGGGAACATACCCATTCACACTATAGCAGTCCCACTGCAAGAAAAGACAGAGAGAGGGGAGGGGGATAGAGAAAGAGAGACCGGGTGCAGCAGCTTATGCCTGTAATCCCAGCACTTTGGGAAGCTGAGGTGGTCAGATCTCTTGAGCCCAGGAATTCAAGGGCAACCTGGGAAACCCCATCTCTACTGAAAAAAATTAGCCAGGTATGGTTGTGCAGGCCTGTAGTATCAGCTACTCCGGAGGCTGAGGTTGAGGCTGCAGTAAGCTGTGATCACACCACTGCACTCCAGTCTGGGCGACACAGCAAGACGTTGTCTGAAAAAAAAAAAAAGAAAAGAAAAGAAAAAGAGAGAGAGCAATCTGAGAACTACTAATTGGTAGGCTAAAGTTCAAACTCTTTTGAGGTCCCACAGTCTGGCCCATACAAACTCTACCCGCGCCTGCCAACTCTGTCCTCATATCCTTGGGCTTGCCTGTCTCCAGCTTAGAACAACGTCCAGTCCTCCCACCTAACGAAGTCCTTCAAAATGACAACCCCACCCGCCTGCCTTTGAGGCTTTCCTAAAGTCCCCAAGGCAGAAGAGGAAGCACAGACTCCTGGAACTGCCAAATGGAGAGACCTCTGAGGCTGCTTGTACTGTGGCTGGAGAAACATACTTAGGGCGGGGTTCATCTTGTTCACTAATCAGCTCACTCATCAAGCACTTCGTGGGTCCCAGTCCTGTCTAAGACTTTCATGTTGACACAAAGATGAATGATGAGGGATTCTCTTGCCTGAGCCACACACAGGATGCACAAAGGAATGAATAATGGCTGCAAACTAGAGCTTGGTTCAAATCCCAGCTCGGTGGCCTTGACAAGTCATCCAACCTGTCTGAAACCAGTTTTCTTGTCCATCTGATGGGGATAATAATAGTATAGATTTGTTATGAAGATTAAGTAAGATGATGCATACAGTGTGGTTGGCACAGCATCCAGGCTTCAATTAATATTCACTGCTAGTTATTATTTCTGGCAGATTCTGGATTGTTTCCTAACAGTTTCAAAGACAAAGTTCTGTGAAGTACTGGGTGTTTGGGGTGGGAGAGGGAATCAAAGAAAATTTCCTGTATAAGGTAGTATAAGGTAGTAAGTAGCTGAGCTGCACTTTTTTTTTTTTTTTTTTTTTCTTGAGACGGAGTTTTACTCTTGCTGCCCAGGCTGGAGTGCAATGATATAATCTTGGCTCACTACAGCCTCTGCCTCCTGGTCTCAAGCGATTCTCCTGCCTCAGCCTCCTGAGTAGCTGGGATGTGCCGCCATGCCCAGCCAATTTTGTATTTTTAATAGAGATGGGGTTTCTCCATGTTGGTCAGGCTGGTCTCGAACTCCTGACCTAAGGTGATCCGCCCACCTCTGCCTCCCAAAGTGCTGGGATTACAGGCATGAGCCACCACACCTGGCTGAGCAGCATTTTGAATGTGGGCAGGACATCCAAAAAAGAAAGCTCATAGGGTAATTGGCATGTGCTGTTTATTAGCTGTGTGATACTGTGCTAGTCAAATGACTTTTCTGAATCTTAGTTTCCTTTTCTGTAAAAACGGTATGATCATCATTTGCAGACTGTTGGGAGGGTCAGCAGTTGTGTAGCTAATGATTATAAAATGCCTGGCATGTAGTAAGTCCTTCTCCGGGCTCAGACTTTTGTCCTCCAACCTCTGACCTTCCTTTCCCAACCAGGCAGATCTGCAAGGAGTTTGCAGACTTGATGGCTCAGGACCGCTCACCGCTGGGCAACAGCCGCCCAGCACTCATCCTGGAACCCGGCGTGCAGAGCTGCTTGACACACTTCAGCCTCATCACTCATGGCTTCGGTGGGCCTGCCATCTGTGCTGCCCTCGCGGCTTTCCAGAACTACTTGCTGGAGTCACTCAAGGGGCTGGACAAGATGTTTCTAAGCAGTGTGGCCAGTGGGCATGGTGAAACCAAGGCTTCGGAGAAGGACCCCAAGCATCGGAAATAACTGCTTCTCCCAACCCATCCCTAAGGGGCTTCCAGGGCCTGAAATGGGGACTTAGCTCCTGGGGGTGGGCCTGAAAGGACTGAAAGGTGGGATTCAAGACAGACCAGAAAGAGAACATTCATCCAGAGATCCCGGAGTCGGGGATCTGGCTTGGAGTAAGGGAGGTGGCCTCTTTGGTGGTGTCTTGGTGGGCCCAGGTATTTGTCTCAAGTGTGCAATTTTCTGACCTTTGATGGCTGAGAAGGGTTTGGACAGAAAATTGACATGAAAAGGTCTGGCTCATGGGGCACAGCCCTTTCTGTTATGGTGCCTGGGTGGCCGTGGGTGCTTCTAGAGGCCAAAGCCTTTGTGTTTTTCACTGGTGGCAGGAGGGCGGTTTTGATAAATCAGAGGTGCTACTGAGGAGATGGTGTCCCTCATTCCAGAATCTTCCACCCCCAGAAAAGGGGTGCTGGAAGGAGGCCCCAGTGGACTCTTTGTACCCTTCCTACTCTTGGAGAGAAGTGGGCAGGAGGGGCCCTTGAGGAACAAATAAGATAAAGCACAAACTGCAGAACTCGAATCCATCCAGGCTGCTCATCACAGTCCTGTTGCTGTCTGTCCTATATATTTATGTATGTTGTAATTAAATTCGAAATTTTAAAATGTCCAGTGCAACTTATTTATCCCAACGAGTTGGGGATTCATTTCAATGTTTTCTGGCCATGCATTGACATGTCCAGCTGGACCAGGAGGGAGAGGGTGTTTTTGCTCAAAAAGGCTGTGGGTGGGTTGGGAGGGAAGAAAGGTGTGTCGGGTGCCCTCAGGTTGTCGCTGGGATCTTGTATTTGTGGTTCTTTTGCCCCTGCAGTTGATGTACCTCCCCATCTCTCATTCTCTTAATAAAACCTTTCACTGGACATGAAGCCCTTCCTGTCCTTCTTTAGCCCAGGCCTGGATTTGCCTCCAAAGAGGGCAGTGTCACTGGGGAGAGGCAGGACCTGAGCATTAGGCAGTGAGTAGGTTTGGAAGGGCCCCCTAAGAGGCTGAGAGGGGACTGGGGGCCCTTCTTTGTGAGAGGAAATACAGATGTTGGTCTATCTGGCATGTCAGTGTAGCTATTAGTTGCTGTGTCTGTGTGTGTGTGTGTGTGTGTGTGTGTGTGTGTGTGTGTCAAGTGAACACTGTATGTGTATTACTGTGACTTGGTGGGCTGGTGGGTACAGGTGTCAGTTTAGCTGTTAGGTGTATGGATTTGTTTCCATGCCCATTGGTGGTGAGTGTGTATGTGTCAGTGGAAACGCTGGTGACTGTATGTGTATCTATCAGGCCACTGCTCATTCAACTCTTGTCTTCTTGAGGATTTCACTCTTCAGGCATTTTTTTTTTTTTTTTCCTGTACCATCAGTCTCTCCCTATCTATGGAATCATTACTGGATCACTCCCCAGAGCACAAATGTTCTAGGATCTCTTACCTTACAAAACAAATCCTTTCCCCATTTCTTTATTTCCTTTGCTTGGAAAGATTGCTACACCTATGCCTCCATTTCTCTACCTCCAATTTCCTCTTCAATCTGCTTTTTTCCAACCAGTCTACTGAAGTCCACTCAGTATGGTCATCACAATGTCAAATCTCAAGGCTGTTTTTTTCTGGATATAACAGTAGCAGTCAGTGGATATGGCTGACCACTTGCTGTTTTCTGCAACTGTTTTCTCTGTGGCTTCTAACTTCTGGTTTCCTATGACCTCACTGGTTCCAATTCTGTCTTCCTAGCTGGCTACTTCTTTACTTGACTTCTAAATGCTGGCTTTCCCTGGGTCGTTCTCTTTCCATACAGACTCCTTAGGTTGGTCTCATTCAATCCCATGTCTTTCAATATCTAAATACTGCCAAGTCCTGAACGTTTATCTTCAGCCCAGGCTGCTCCCTGAACTCCAGACTTGGATGTACAACTGTCTGCCTGATGTCTGCTGGCATCTCAAATTCATGTCCAAAATGGAGTGCATGACTCAAATACTAAAATCGTGACCTCTTCCAGACTGTCCCACCACAGTAGATGGCACCACCTTCTACCCAATTGTTCAAGCCAGAAACTGGGGGGTCGTATTTGGTTCTTTCTCTATATTCAACCCTTCAGAAAGACCTATGGATTCTGAGTGCATCTTCTTTCTTCTCTGCCACCACCCTAGTTCTCTGGACTAATACAGTAGTCTCCCAACTGGTCTATTTTCTCCGGTACACCTTCAACCTCAGGTCCAACAATGATCTGACTGCCTGATTCTCCAGCCTCATCTTAAACTACTCTCTTCATCGCTCACTTTGCTCCAGCCCCACGGGTTTCCTTTCTATTCCTCAAACTAACGTTTTGTTTTATGTCTCAGGGCCATTGCATTCACTGTTGTTTGCCTGGATTGCTGTTCCCCATGTCTTTGCAAGCATGCTGTCAGGGATAGATGATGAGGTGCTTTGCAAGTGAACGTTGTGCTAGAAACATACGGTCTAGGCATCATCTCTCACGATAAGGGTCCAAAGATGTGACTTCTTTTCCCAAGAAGCTGCAATGCCTCAACTCACCCATATGTCCAGTGAAAGCTCTCCGGACACAGTGGGGTCTCCTCTGGGGGCCTGTCCCTCGTTCTAAATGCATGGAGACCCTGGACACATCCTAATCCTGGCCCTGCCACTCACTTGGTGTGCCCCCCTGAGCTTTGGGTCCCCCGGTACGTACCCCACAGCAGGTTGTTAGGTGGTGCTCGATACCTTGAGGCCGCCTCCAGGTGTGGCACTGAAGAATTCTGAATCATGTGAGGAGGAAGTGCTGCCTTTTTCAAGTCCCTTTCTTTTTTTTTTTTTTTTTTTTGAGACGGAGTTTCGCTCTTGTTACCCAGGCTGGAGTGCAATGGCGCGATCTCGGCTCACCGCAACCTCCGCCTCCTGGGTTCAGGCAATTCTCCTGCCTCAGCCTCCTGAGTAGCTGGGATTACAGGCACGCACCACCACGCCCAGCTAGTTTTTTTTGTATTTTTAGTAGAGACGGGGTTTCACCATGTTGACCAGGATGGTCTTGATCTCTCGACCTCGTGATCCACCCGCCTCGGCCTCCCAAAGTGCTGGGATTACAGGCTTGAGCCACCGCGCCCGGCCTCAAGTCCCTTTCAATCAGTCCCTCTGAATACATCAAGAAGAAAGTCTCCATTTGGGGTTGGCATGGCTTTAACACCTAATATTTGCTTTTCCTCATTTTAACAAAGAGGTTCAGTGCCTTTCCCCAAGTATCCCTATCTGGGTTACTTACTCCTTTCTGCAGAAAGGAACAGAAAGGAATGTGGGGGGAGGCTGAAGTATGCTCTGCTTTAACTGAAGCCTAGGGCCTGGCAAGAGACATCCTACCTCTAAAATTATCAGACTATGAGAAGTTGGGAGGATTAAATAAGATATACAGCACTTCTATATAATGCTTGTAATATAGTAACAAATCAATAAAAGGTTATAAATATCCAGAAGAAATTAGTTTATCAAAAACTTTTCAGGGGCTAGACAACATTTCCTAAGGAAAGGACCATGTAGTCCTCACCAAATCCTATTTGACAAACAAGGAAGTGATAGATGAAAGCAGCTTTCCCAAGGTCACTAAGCAAGTGAGTGGGACTCACGCATCTGTGTGTGATCTGACCCTCCCTTCATTTCCACTCCATCACATGGCCATCTACAGAAGGGCTCACAGGCCTGACCCCAGCGAGGGGAAACAGGTCTTCCCTTTGTGCCCCGAGGCTCTGCTAAGCCAGCATATGGTCAGGATCATTAACAGTGCAGAAGCAGTATGGTATGGACACTGTCTAAGTGGCATTAGAAGCTTCTAATGAGGTCTCAGCACTTGATTCTTCCCATCAAGTTGTTTTTCTTTATTCCACAGCAAAATAAATCACGTTTTAGCCTCTAACTGGGTTTAGCCCTAAGGAAAAGTAGATGACGATTAAAGTATACACGGGGGCTGGGTACAGTGGCTCACGCCTGTAATCTCAGCACTTTGGGTGCCAAGGCAGACAGATCATTTGAGGTAAGGAGTTCAAGACCATCCTGTCCAACATAGTGAATCCCTGCCTCTATAAAAATAGAAAAAATAAAATACACACATATTGTTTTACAAGGCTTCTTTTTTGCAAAGCAAGTAGCTGCAAATTAAACGGCGAGTGTTTAGGCTTGGTAAGCATTCCAATTTGGAGTTTAAAGAAAAGGCTTTCCTACTTTAAGGATCATAGTGTTCCGGAAGAAATATGAAAAGTGCAGACTTTAAAAACGTTCCCTCCCATAAAGTAAGGTAAGTGACGGCAAGTTGCAGGCTTCTCCTTCCAAACACGCTAACTCATAATTCACACACTGGAGTAAGCAAGCAGCAGCAGACACTTAGGGAGAACCCAAGAATGCACCTCTTTCTCTTGCTTGGGCACTGCTGCTGCCCTGGTCAAAAGGCCAAGGGGCGCAGAAGTGAAAGGACTCTGGGCTTCAGGCAGGGCAGGCCAGCGTGGTTGCTCAACTAGCAACACCAAGAAGCTCTTGGGCCGTTTCAGTGGCCTCTTCCATCTCTCAAAGGTTCCTGCCTTCCCATCCGCTCTCTGGTTGGGCTGAGCTTCTGAGCCTCCCTACCCTGAGGCAAAACAGCTGCTCTCTTCTCCAATCCATCCCCACTCCCACCCTGAGCCAGGGAAAGAATAATTTGTTTTTCTGTGTATTAATCACCTGAAAGCATATGGGAGCTAATGAGAACTCCTTTCTGAACAGCGTTTGGCCAGGAGTGTTACAGAATGGGTATATTCCCAGTGTTTTTCAAACTTCAGGAAATTGATTTAGGACAAAGCTGGCATTTTAAAAACTAAAGTCCAGCAGAAGAAAACAGAAGTTACCAGAACACACTACATCATGACTCCACACACACACCCCTCTGTAAGAAAAGTTCCACAAAGTAATGCTTACCCTCCTTATAGTAGGTATATATAAGTGTGAAGTCACAAATGAATGACAGAGGCCATGTAAATGTATTTGAACACAGGCTTTATGAGGTGTAAAAGAGAGAAAGGAAAATGGGGAGTAAGGTTAGGAGAGCATTATGGAATGCCTAGCAGGTCAAACCAAAGAATCGGGCTTTATTCTCTTAAGCCATGGAAAACCACCGGAAAGTTTTAAGGGCAAAGAGGAATGGATGGTGAAACTAATTTTTTAAAGTATGGAGAAAGACCCGAAGAGAGAACAGATTAAAAGTAGAGTCAAGTTAAGAGGCTGTTAAATAGTCTAAGAAATGACAGGGGGTGAACCAGAATAATGGGGATGGAGATTTAAAGAGATTTAGGCCAGGTGCAGTGACTCACACTTAGAATCCTGGTGCTTTGGCAGACCAAGGTGGGAGAATCACTTGAGGCCAGGAGTTCAAGACCAGCCTAGGTAACATAGCAAGATCCCGTCTCCACAAAAATTTTTTACAAAATTAGCTGGGTATGGTGGTGTAGACCTGGAGTCCCAGCTAGCTGAAAGGCTGAGGTGAGAGGTTCACTTGAGCCCAGGAGTTCAAGGCTGCAGTAAGCTATGATCGTGCCACTGCACTCCAACCTGGGAGCTGGACCCTGTCTCTGAAAAACAACAACAAAAAAATTAAAAATTTAGGATATAGAAATGCCAGAACTTGGTGACCACATAGAGACAGGAGGTAAAGAATGGCATGAAAATGATGCCCAGCTAAATGCAATGTTGTTATCTTGAATTATATCCTAGAACAGAAGAAGAAAATTAGTGGAAAAACTGGTAAAATCTGAACAAAGCCTGGAGCTTAGTAATACTAATATACCAACCAATGTTGGTTTCTCAGTTTTGACAAATATACCATGGTATATACAAGATGTTAACATTACAGAAACTGAATAAGGGGTATAAGGACACTCTGTATTATCTTTGCAGCTTTTCTTATTCCAGAATAAAACTGTTTATTAAAAATAAATGATGACTGGGTTTCTGACTTGGGTACCTGGGAACTAGGTGGCTCTAATTCTGTAAGATGGAATGTCACAGAAGAGGTCTGGAGAGGGGCAGATGGTAAGGCTCAGTTTTAGACATAGAGTTTGAAGTCCCTAAATCTGGAGGGTGAGCTATCTAGGAATGAGTTGATTTGGAGCTCAGGAAAGAGATCCAGGTTGGCAAAAAAAACACTAGAGTGAGGATGGGTTTGTAGGCATGCCTGAGATTGCCCTGGAGAACTACATGTCATCCCTGGTGAGGCCTGGATGCAGAATAACAAGTTTACTAATGATTATACACTGGCTGAGCACTTACCACATGCCAGGCTCTGCACTAAACTTTCACCTATATTACTAATGTAATTCTCATACCTACCTACATGGAATAGGTGCTATTTCAATCATTTTACAGACGGGAAAATCAGGTAGCAGGATAGCCTGTGATTTAGTAGCGGCACTCCACTGGGTAGAGCATCAGAATCACCTGTGGTGCTTTTAAAATAGACGTCTTACACTCAGGAATCTAGCTAAAAGATCAAACCTATGCATATTCACGGTACTGTTGGAGGTTGAATCGACTGTAGTGATGTGAATCATCGCTTTTCTCCCATTTATTCATGATTAGTTTTCTTCTTATGGTATAAGGCATTTACCATTGGTGTATTAAATAGTGTAGAAGACACTCAAATCTAATGTTAACCCAATACTGTTAATATGAACATTATGATCACTAGGTAGTATCTTAGATGACACATTTAATCACAGACAAATCAAAAACCCATCTGTATATGGTATTAAGAGGAGCACAGAATTAGATAAAGTAGAGTTATATCTTAGTCTACGGCCATATGGTTGTGATACGTGGTTCCTAGACCGGCAGTATCAGTAGCAACTGGAAGTGTGAGATGAACATTCGGAAACACCCATCTGGTTAAGAATCACTGTTTTAGTGGCTTTAACCACAAAACGTCTACATTGTTCCCTAAAGGTAGGCTAAGAGTAAAATGGGTATCTGGTTAACTGCCCACTGATGCATCAATTTAATGGAATATTATGCAACTGTCAACAAGAATACATAGATCTATTTGTATTGATATAAAACAATCTCTAATACAGTGCTAAGTGAAATAAGCAATATGTAGAACATTTAAAAATACTTTTTAGCCAGGCATGGTGGCTCAATGCCTGTAATGCCAGCACTGGGAAGCCAAGGCAGGCAGACTGCTTGAGCCCAGGAGATCGAGACCAATGTGAGTGGCATGGTGAGACTACTATCTCTATGAAAAACATAAAAATTAGCTGGGCATTGGTGATGTATGCCTGTAATCCTAGCTACTCGGGAGGCTGAGATGGGAGGATCACTTGGGCCCAGGAGGCAGAAAGTTGCAATGAACCAAGATTGCACTACAGCATTCCAGCCTGGGCTACAGAGTGAGACCCTGTCTCTAAATAAATAAATAAATTTAAAAAATTTAAAGGGGACATGTGTCTGTATGTATGTATACCTTACTTAGTAACAGAGTATCTCTTAAACATGTAAGAAATTAGTAGCTGAAGTTTCCTTGAGGAAGGGAAGCAGGTGATTGGACTATAGGGATGGGAGAAATCTTTTTCACTACATGTTTTTGCACTGTTTGCATGTTTTATGAAGTACATGTACTATTCATTCAGATTAATTTAAAAAATGTAAGTTTGGCCGGGCGCGGTGGCTCAAGTCTGTAACCCCAGCTCTTTGGGAGGCTGAGGCGGGTGGATCACGAGGTCAAGAGATCGAGACCAACCTGGTCAACATGGTGAAACCCCGTCTCTACTAAAAATACAAAACATTAGCTGGGCATGGTGGCGCATGCCTGTAATCCCAGCTACTCAGGAGGTTGAGGCAGGAGAATTGCCTGAACCCAGGAGGCGGAGGTTGCGGTGATCCGAGATCACGCCATTGCACTCCAGCCTGGGTAACAAGAGTGAAACTCTGTCTCAAAAAAAAAAAAAAAAAAAAAAAATAAGTTTAAGGGCGAAAAGAACCACTACTTTAGAGAGAATGAAGACATTAACAAGTAAAATATATGAAAGAGCTAGTTGGAAAGGAAGCCAAGCACGAAATAGAACATGGAGCCATCAGCTGCTAAAGGGTACTGAGCATTAAGGCAGGGTGGAGCAGGAAAAGTCAGGCCTGGCAAAAAGACCATCTTCCTTCCATATCCTTTCTGAGGTAATATTAGGTAAATTGAGACCCGGACCACAGAGCTCAATTATATCCAGTCACCTTTATTCTGAATTAACCATTTATCAAGAATGCACCTGAAAAGAGTAGAAAAAAAAAATAAAGGAGGCCAGCAAGAAAAAGTTCCTTGGCAAGTGGGAGGGAAGGTGGGCATGACATTAGGAGCCCTGTTTGGGGAAGGAAATGTTGTCCAGGTCATGGATGCCACTTTTGTCAATGATTCGAACACTGAAGGTTGGCAGATTCAGGATGAAGCGTTTCTGGAGCTGCAGAGAGACATGAAGGAAATCCGTCAACAAATAATTACTAAGTACTATGTGCCAGGCTCTGTTCTAGACACTGGGGATACAAGCAAACAAAAATCCCTGCTTTTGTGGAACTGAAATTCTACTGGAGGCAGTTGGTAGTAGGGCACTAGTACCCTAGTAGTACAGGGTACCCAAACAGCAGCTGGAGGATGACTGGGAGGCAGGGAGGCTGAACTGGGAGATGCAGCTAAGAGTCTGTCTCTGGTCAGTAAACCGATGAAAGAATGAGACCATCCAGTGTTCTGTTCTCCATAGTGTGTTAGCGATCAGTCTGGTAAACACAGACATGTCTCTTAAAATGTCTCAAGATAATAAACTAACAAAGACTGACTGTCCTCAGAACAAAGCAGAGGCCAGGAGTGGTGGCTCAGGCCTGAAATTGGGAGGTTGAGGTGGGAGAATGTCTTGAGCCCAAGAGTTCAAGATCAGCCTGGGCAACATAGCAAGACTCCATCTCTTAAAAAAAAATGAGCTGGGTATGGTAGTGCCTGTCTGTAGTCTCAGCCACTTGGGAAGATCGGTTGAGTTCCAGAGGTCCAGGCTGCAGTGAACTGTGGACTGCACTCCACTCCAGCCTGGGTGACAAAGGGAGACCCCATCTCTAAAAAAAAAGTGGGGGTGGGGACTGTAGACTGAAAACAAAAGGCTTGTGTAAGAGGCAAACTGACATTACTCTCAATACTCCTGCTCTTATCCTCCTATTCTCTCACTAAACCATGAGTTCAAGTTCATCCTTAAGCCACAGGAACAATAAAAGAATAAAAAAACCTAATGGGAACGGTTTTTGACCTTCCCATCATCCATCCATACCCAAAGCCTGAGACTCTAAGGAGTAGTATTAGAAAGGGTGCATTCTGAGCTGGGTATGGTTGCTCACGCCTGTAATCCCAGCTACTCAGGAGGATAAGGCAGGAGAATCACTTGAACCCGGGAGGCAGAGGTTGCAGTGAGCCGAGATGGAGCTATTGCACTCCAGCCTGGGTGACAGAGCAAGACTCTGTCACCAAAAAAAAAAAAAGAAAAAAGGGTGTGTTCTATGATCCTGGCCTCACAAACCAAAGTCTACTCTCTCCTTCTGCCCCAAGTTTCTTAGTTGTTTTCTATGGTCCTGCTGAATTCTTAGGGAAGGCTTTCTCTCTAGATCACAAAGACTCATGCACTACTAAGGGAACAGGCAGCATGCCAATTCCAGGTGGCACAAGAACAGAGCAGGTATAAAGTCCAGGGCAGAAGTTCTTCAAGTACAGCCTCAGTTACCACCTGTAACAAAATCACCTGGGACTGTCAATTATAACAGAGCTTCCCAGTTTGTACCCCACAGCAGTGGAATCAGAATTGAGGGTTGGGGCAGAGATGGCAATCCGTCTAACAAGTTTCCCGGGTGATACTTACACATACTAAAATTTGAGAACCACTGGTTTGGATAAACCAGAAAGAATTAAATTATAAAATCGACGCTGAGGAGGTAATCTGTAAAAGAAAAATAAGCTTGCTACCCACACCAAGCTCTATCCCTGATAGCAACTTCATACCTGGTTAGTAGGTATGTATTACATCTTCTGGCAAAAATCAGAAAAAATATAACGAAGGAACAGGAACAAGACTGGCAAACAGAGACACAAACATTCCTTTCAGGATCCCACAGGAGCTACTTACCTCCTCCAGACATTTCCTAAGAAGCTCTACTGCCCTCTCACGTGAGATAGCTGAAAGAGAACACAGAGACCAAGTACTTAAGGTGCTGTCATTAAATCCAACTCTCAGCAGCTTTTGATTAAGTTTCAAATCTTCATCAAAGCTGACTTCTTCAGGTCCAAGTGCCACACAAATGGAAAAGGCAAAAAAACGCTTTGCCTTCCAGCCTGCAACCAACTTACTCCATATGCACCTGGGGGTGCCCCAGACCCAATGCTCCAGCAGCTACAAGCCATTGCAAATTGATTTGCTACAGTGAAGGGTAAGCATGAAGGAATTCTGACTCCCCTGGCCAGGGCCCGCCTCTGAAGAAGTCCAGTGGCCTGTCTCTCTTTATTTTAGCTCACCCCTTTCACTCCCCCGTAGTCCAGGGTTTAAATCAATTCCATCTGCCCTACTCAGCTGCAAATCCGGGAAAGGGAAGACAGGGTCAGAATTTTAGCCTTGTTTTCCCAGCTGGGTCTCTGTTTAACAATGGAAAGAGAATTTATAGGATGGGGCTGACAGGAGCCAAAGCAGCTGTCTGTGGGCATGGCAAACTGGAATGACATGTTATGCAGTCAGGCTTCAGGGGTGGCTAGTCGTTATTTTGGTGGGCAAATCAGCTATATTACCGACAGATGCCAAATCAAGAAAGTCACTGGGAGGCCAGGCTAATTCTTTTCAGGATGTGGCCCAGAGCTCTAGTGTGGCTGAGGCTGAGCCAGAGGGCAGCACCAAAAAAGAATGAACATGACAGATTCTTATGATATCGATAGTGAAGAATGGAATGTAAAGAGAGAAGTGGTTATCTGTGCTACAGTTATAGTCTGTAAAAGCTAAGGATTCCAAAGTACCCATTGCCCACAGAGGCTAAAGTCAAGGTTAAGATTGGGGTCAGAAGATGGAACTTAGCACAAAAGCATCCCATGTCTGGGAAGTCCTAACCAGAGCACTTAGGCAAGAGAAAGAAATAAAGAGTATCCAAATTGGAAAGCAGGAAGTCAAATGTCCCTATTTGCAGATGACATGATTTTCTATACAGAAAAACCTAAAGACCCCACCGGAAAACTCTTATATCTGATAAATTCCATAAAGTTGCAGGATACAAAATTAATATCCAAAAGTTAGTAGTGTTTTTATATACAAACAAACTAGCTGAAAAAGAAATCAAGAAGGCAGTCCCATTTACAATAGAAACAAAAATCAAAGAAAATAAAATACCTAGGAATAAATTTAACCAAGGAGGTAAAAGACCTCTATAACAAAAACTATAAAACACTGAAGAAATAAACTGAAGAGGATACAAATGAATGGAAAGACAGCTCATGCTCCTGGATCAGAAGAATATTAATTGATTGATTGACTGATTGAGACAGGATCTCACTCTGTTGCCCGAGCTGGAGTGCAGTGGCACAATCTCGGCTCACTGCAACCTCCACCTCCCGGGTTCAAGCAATTCTTCTGCCTCAAACTCTCAAGTAGCTGGGATTACAGGCACTTGCCACCACGCCTGGCTATTTTTTGTATTTTCAGTAGAGATGGAGTTTAACCATGTTGGTTAGGCTGAACCTGACCAACATGGTGAACTACTAACCTTGAACTCCTAACCTTGTGATCTACCCGCCTTGGCCTCCCAAAGTGCTAGGATTACAGGCATGAGCCACCACACCTGGCCAAGAATTAATATTATTAAGATGACAATACTACCCAAAGAAATTTATAGATTCAATGCAATCCCTATCAAAATACTACTGACATGCCTCACAGAATCAGGAAAAAAAAAAAAAAATCCTAAGATCTGTATGGAACCACAAAACACTCTAAACAGCTAAAGCAATCCTGAGCAAAAAGAACAAATCTGATAGTTGATACTACTACCACACTTCAAAATATACCACAAAGTTGTAGTAACCAAAAATCAGCATGCTATTGGCATAGAAATAGACACATAGACCAATTAAACAGAAGAGAGAAATTAAGAAATTAAGCCACAATCTACATTTGACTTTTGATAAATGTACCAAGAACACTCATTGGGGAAAGGACAGTCTCTTCAATAAATGGTGCTAGAAAAACTGGATATCCATATGCAGAAGAATGAAATCAGACCCTCAGCTCTCATCCTATAGAAAACTCCACTCAAAATGGATCAAAGACCTAAATTTAAGACCTGAAACTAGAAGAAAACATAGAGGGAAAGCCTCAGGACATTGATCTGGCAAAAGATTTTATGAATAATCTCATAAGCACAGGCAATAAAAGCAAAAATAAACAAATTGGATTATAGCAAACTAAAATGCTTCTGCACAGCAAAGGAAACAACAGAGTGAAAAAATAACCTACACAATGTTAGAAAATACACACGAACTACTCATTCCAACAGGGGGTTAATATCCAGTAAATATAGGGAACTGAAACATCTCAACAGAAAAAACAAATTCAATTAAAAAAGCTATTATCGATTAGGAAAGCTATTATCAAAAAGACAAAAAAGGGATTTCTAGCTCTCTGGAATCCCCTTCCACAAAGTGGGAGTCTCTTTCCCCTCCTGGATTTCCCCTCTGGAGTCTCCTTCCACATTCTTCATAGAAGTTTTCGCTCTTCTCTTTTTTCTCTTTTTTTACCTAAATAAATCACTTTCTACAAAAAAAAAAAAAAAAAAAAACAGACAAAAAATAACAAAAACAAATGCTGGCAAGGATGTAGGGAGAAGGAAATTCTTTATACACGGTTGGTGGGAATGTAAACTAGTAAAGCCACTATGGAGAACAGTATGGTGGTTGTTCAAAAAACTGCAAATAGAACTACCATATGATCTGGCAATCCCACTACTGGGAATTTATCCAAAAGAAAGGAAATCGTTATATTGGATGAAATCATTTTATCACTGGGGAAATACTGCACCCCAGTGTTTACTGCAATACTATTCAAAATAGCCAAGATATGGAACCAACCTAGATGTCCAATGACAGATCAATGGTTAAGAAAGTGTGGTATATACACCATGAAATACTATTCATCCATAAAAAAGGAAATCTGTCATTCATGGCAACATGAATGGAATTGGAGGACATTCTGTTAAGTGAAATAAGCCAGGAACAAAGTTAATACACTGTACATACTCACTCATATGTGGAAGCTAAAAAAGCTGAACTCAGAAATAAAAAGTAGAACAGAGGATACTAGAGGTTGAGAAATCCTCTGTAAGAGATGGGGGACATTTGTCAAAAGATACAAAATTGGCTGGGTGCAGTGGCTGACGCCTGTAATCCCAGCACTTTGGGAGGCCAAGGAGGGTGAATCACTTGCAGTCAGGAGCTCCAGTAAAGCCTGGTCAACATGGTGAAACCCCATCTCTACAAAAAATATAAAAACTAGCCAGGCGTGGTGGCATGTGCCTGTAATCTCAGCTACTTTGGAAGCTGAAGCATGAGAATTGCTTGAACCTGGGAGGCGGAGGTTGCAATGAACCGAAACTGCTCCACTGCACTCCAGTGTGGGTGACGGGGAGGCTGTCTCAAAAAAAAAAAAAAAAAAAGATACAAAATTATGGTTAGATAGAGGAATAAGTTCTAGTGTTCTATACTACTGTAAAACAACGGGTTAACAATATATAGTTTCAAATAGCTAGAAGGAGGATACTAAATGTCTCCAACACAAAATGATAAATGTTTGAGATGATGGATATACTACTAAATACCTTGATCTGTTCACCATACATTACAAGTATTGAAACATGATGTACTCCATGAATATATGTCCAATTATTATTTGTCAATTAAAAAATAAAATTTTAAAAAAGCATCCCTGTATCTGAAGTTTTGCCAAGCTGATGCTTTACGGACAAGTAGAGCAAAAGCTTCCAGTAGAGCGGGCAGCCGTTAGGTGACAACCGAGGGTAGGCTCAGATTTGTAGCCTTAGAAAGCTTTGATGTTTAAGCAAAGAAACCTTCAGTTGTCATGCTGGGGACCTATTCATCCTCACAAGTTCAAAACAAACATATAGCTACTTCCCTTACTCACTCGTTCTTTACTGAGATGCTAATAAGCATCTAGGTAAAGCAAAATAAGTGAAAAAACTAACTCTTAGAACTGAAGAATTTTAGAACCCAATAAAAATGTTTTATTCACTATGTCATCTATTCCAATCCTCCTTCAAAACAAAATCCAGTTCTAGAGATATGTAATATCTCATTTTGGCTGGCAAAAAAATGGGACTTTAATCAGCTTTTAGAAGACCCTACTGACCCACAGAAGAGTGCAGCTTCCAGAGGGAGACCTGCCTGTGCTTTTTAAGATCCATCCTATTCAAGTCCTGGCCACCCAACTCCAAGGGTGGACAAACCTGGGAAGCAGCTGAGGGCAGGGCTCTGTCACTGCTCCCTTCCTAGAGTGTTGGTACTTACTCGGTGTATAGTATCTGTCCAGGATACTGAGAGTCAGGAAGGCACCATAGCCATGGGCTGCAAAAGGGGCCTTGGCCAAGGCTGCCAGGTAGTCCATGTAGTAGAGCGCTGGCCCTTCATGCTCATCATAGCCAGCCAGGAGGAGGTTCACATGATACGGAGTCTGCAAAGAAAAGATATGGCAAAGTGATAAGCAGAACACCAACATCTCTTATCATGGCAAATGGGAATATTCTGACTCTTGATAAGAAAGAAAATATTAGCAGCAACTGAGTAAATCACAATCAAAGTAAAAATGTAGGGAAATCTAGAGGACTTGGAGTATGGTAACAGGCCAAGGGACATTGGGTTATTCTCTTTGAACAGAAGGGCATTTGGAGCACTTTAAGGTATATGAAAAAGCTGCTATCTTCTTAAAGTCTACAGATGAGAACCTGTATAAAAGCCCTTCTTCAAAAGTATTTGATAGCAAAACAGTGACTATAATTAATAATAGTTTAATTGTATATTTTAAAATAATGAAAAGAACATAATTGGATTATTTGTCACACAAAGGAGAAATGCTTGAGGTGACAGATATCCCATTTACCCTGATGTGATTATTACACATTGTATGCCTGTATTAAAATATCACATATACCCAATAAATACACACAACTACTATGAATGCATAAAAATTAAAATTAAAAAAAATTTTTAAGCACTGCACAGGCAAAGCACAGGTGCTCTCTGTCATTCCTAATTGTTGAAAACAACAAACAATTCTGAGGGTGCCAGGCCACAGACTGAAAAAAGCAGATGCTCCAAGCACATCGAATGAAACAAACAAACTCCATCTGGGCATCTGGACCAATCCCAAGTGGTAAACTGTATGCCCACTACTAAAGAAACAATTTATAGCTGGGCGCAGTAGCTTACAGGTATAATCCTAGCACTTTGGGAGGCTGAAGCAGGATGGACTGCTTGAACCTAGGAGTTGGAGACCAGCCTAGGCAACATAGTGGGACTCCATTTCTGCAAAAAAAACTAAAAACTTAGCCAGGTGTGATGGTACACACATGTGGTGCCAACTCAAGAGGCTAAGGTGAAAGGATCACTTGAGACCAGGAGGTCAAGGCTACAGTGAACAATGATTGTGCCACTGCACTTCAGCCTGGGTTCTAAAAAAAAGAGAGAGAGAAAAGAAACAACTCATGAGGTGGGGAGGGAGAGTAAGTCTCAAATATTTAAGTCAAATCACTAGACTTAACTGAGAAGTAATTTTGAGACAAATAAAAAGTAATAAAAAGGCCGGGCACAGTAGCTCACGCCTATAATCGCAGCACTCTGGGAGGCCAAGGCGGGCGGATCACAAGGTCAGGAGTTCGAGACCAGCCTGGTCAACATAGCAAAACCCTGTCTCTACTAAAAACACAAAAATCAGTTGGGTGTGGTGGTGGACACCTGTAGTCCCAGCTATTCAGGAAGCTGAGGCAGGAGAATCACTTGAACCCGGGTGGCGGAGGCTGCGGTAAGCCGAGATCATGCCATGGCACTCCAGCCTGGGCAACAAGAGCGAAACTCTGTCTCCAAAAAATAAGTAATAAAAAATAATTATAACTTGGATTTATAAATATCCTTTCTTTCTTTGTATTACCTGCAAATCTAAAAGCATAAGTTGCTATGGAGAACTATGACTGAGTCTGCGCTGCTCTTCATCGCCAAATGGATGATTATTTTTTTCTACACTAGCAGGGTCGTTTACCATGTTAAATTCAGTCTGTCTGTGCCCCCAGTCATCAGTGTGGGACTTCCATTTTAAATGGCTTTCTTTTTCTCTGCAGGATGTGTTTCTCCTCTTGCATTTGCTTCAGTGGGTAGTAACCAGGCCTTGCCCATGGATATGTCCCCATCTCTAAATTTATGGATGCATGCGATCAAATGCACAATAAGTGAGACACCTCATTATGAGGCATGAAGTATAATAGCTAATGGTCCTAAAAATGGCATTTAACATTCTTTGAACACTGATTAATACAGGTACTTTGCAGCCTTAAAAAACTCCTTGTTTTTGCTTTTTTCTGGTGGGGGTAGGGGGGATGTTGTGAGGGGAGTTAAAAGGGGATGTTGTTGTTCTGTTGCTCAGGCTGGAGTGCAGTGGTGCATTCATAGCTCACTGCAGCCCCAAACTTTTTGGCTCAGGTGAATTTCCCACCTCAGCCTCCTGAATAGCTAGGACTATAGGCACGTACCACCATGCCCTGCTAATTTTTATTTTTATTTTTAAGAGATGAGGTCTTGGCCAGACATGGTGGCTGATACCTGTAATCCCAGCACTTTGGGAGGCTAAAGTGGGCGGATTACTTGAGGTTGGGAGTTTGATGGGAGTTTGAGACCACCTGGCCAAGATGATGAAACCCTGTCTCTACTAAAAACACGAAAATTAGCCAGGCATGGTGGCACATGCCTGTAGTCCCAGCTACTCTGGAAGCTGAGGCACAAGAATCCCTTGAACCTGGGAGGTGGATGCTGCAGTGAGCTGAGATCGTGATACTGTACCACTGGGCAATAGAGCAAGACTCTATCTCAAAAAAAAAAAAAAAAAAAAAGGAGAGAGAGAGAGAGAGAGAGAGAGAGAGAGAGAGAGAGAGAGAGAGATGGGGTCTCACTATGTTGCCTAGGCTGGTCTTGAACTTCTAGGCTCAAGTGATCCTTTCACCTTGGCCTCCCAAACTGCAGGCATGCCACCATGCCTATTGCAAAACTCATATTATATACTTACTTGGAATTCTAAGCCAGCTGTGCTAAGTAGGAAGGGTTCCTAACATCACCTGGAGATTACAGAGTAGTCCTTACCTCTAGATAAGTTTCTGTTTTAGTGATAAGATAGTGGGTAGTCCCAGAGAGAAATAAGTTGACCAGCAGTCAAGACTTCGGAGAAAATAATTATCTGCCTATTGCATTTCCCAATGAGTACTGTGCTGCACTCTACCAAGCTCTGGAATTCTCTGTGCATTCTGAGTATCTTCTTAGTAAATCCAATCTTAGGCAAAAAAAACTTAACCCCTATGAGCTTCTGTTTTTTTTTTTTAATGTGCAAAACTGGGTTAATCTTTCTTCTTTCTATCTTCTAGGGAATATAATGAGAAAAAATAATAATGATAAAGCATCCCAAACTGTGGAAGAAAAGATGCTACCAAAATTCCTAGTATTTTAACTACATCCCAGTCTCTTTTTGAAAGCTTATTACTATAAACAACAACAAACCTACTTAAATTAGCTATAGATTTTAAAATGCTATTAGTTACATATTTTTAAAGTGTGAAAACAGTACTGCAAAATCTGGCAGACACAGAATACCTTGGTGTTCTTATAGTTAAAATTAGAAGAAAGGGGGAGAAAGAGAGGCAGAATAGCAAAGAGATTCCAACCAATTTCCCTACCCAAGAGAATAAAACAGTCTTTCACCTATCAGAAACTAAGTTAAATCTTTTCGCTAAGAGGATAAACTCTACTCTTCTCTACTAACTAGCCAGAATACTCGCTGTGTAGTTAACTAAGACAATTTCATCAAGTTGCAATGGTATATTAAGTATTTCCCCAGATGCTCAAAGAGGCCTTAACCAGCAGAACCCAAATGTTTTGTCTTCAATGAAGATCTTGTCCATACTATGAGATTAAATTTAGAACAATAAATTTTATTTTAAAATACACTACTAGAAGATTTTAGATGAAACAGGATGTCAACAGAATTCCAGAAGCAAATTGTATCACTTAATTGGTCTATATAGTATCATTTACTTTTACTTAGGCATCTGACACACATACACTTACTGAAGTTGGTATTCAGAAGCTACAACTCCTGGTACTGAAGATAACTCACAAATTATTGTGTGACTTCAAATTACCAACTTTTGTATGTGTGAGATGCTTAAGCATAAATAAATGGTGTTATCTAGACTAATTAAATCAATACATCTGTGCAACAACTTGCAGTTTGTGAAATTCTTCTGACAATGCTCCATCAAAAATCTCTGGCTTGGCTGGGCGCGGTGGCTCACGCCTGTAATCCCAGCACTTTGGGAGGCTGAGGTGGGAGGATTGCTTGAGCCCAGGAGTTCAAGACCAGCATAGGTAAGATGGCAAGACCCTGACTCTACGGGAGTAGGGTGGGAGAAGCTAGGTGAAGTGGCTACTTGGGAGTCTGAGGCAGGAGGATCCTTAAGTCCCAGAGTACAGTGAGCTACTATCCTCCACTGCACTCCAGTGTGACTGGCAACAGAGTAAGACCCTATTTCTATCAAATAAAAATAAAAATCACTAAACAAATGTCAGAAAGCGATAGGTGCTACTTCTGAGAAGTGGCTCAAGTTTAAGTCAATTGCCAGCATCTCCATGAATGTACATTTATTGTTGCTTTTTGCTAGGCTTGGGTCCTTCTCTTTCTACCTCCCTCTAGACACAGGGTGATAAGTAAAGAAAAGCATAGGATACAGGCCAGGCATTCAGAACTGAACAAAGAGGAGACCAATAGCATAAATAAGAAAGAGTTGGGCTATTTGTGACTTTAGAAAAGTTAGTCATTTAATCTCTCTGAATTTTATTTTCTCATTTAAAACATGGGATGATCCCTACTACAAAAGTGCTGCTGCAGTGAGGATTCCAAAAGATAATACATGTGGATAAGTGTAACGCCTGAAACAGTAAAGACTATAAATAAACAATGCAACTACTCAGGAGAAGCCCGACTACTTCTGGCATTGAGATACGAGGGAAATTCCTATGTCTTCATAAAGGGATATGGAGGGGTGTTAGTGCCCAGCACAGTGCCTGACACATGGTAGAAAAGCAGTAAATGATAGTTTCCACCTCTTTGATTCTTGGGACTCTTTCCAGGGGTCCTAAGGTAAAGGAGTTCAGTGTTACCAGCATCTGTACTAAACACTTAGAGCATACCTGCTTCACGGTCAACTCTTCCTAACCATGTCATTTCTTCCCTTGCAGATGTGTCTATCCTGAGTGACAAACCTATTTTCTAGACAATTTTTCATCAGTTCCCTTTTCCCCCATGATCAGTATCACATATTTAAGGATTTGCCTAATTATTCTGGGAAAATGAAAACATTAATCAATAATGATAGCACTGTTAGGGATGCTCCTTACAGAAAATCTTTTACAAAGTAA